CAACTTCTACCATTTTTTCTCACCTCTTCCCTTCTGCATGTTCCTGTTGCACCTTTCTTCTGTTTAATATGAGCATCTCACTTCCTTAAAAACATAACCTACACATAAAAGATGAATAACTCCACCAGCCTCCTTTTCTGGTATGAGGGAGATCCTGCTTAGGTGCATTTTTTGAGTGAAGCTTTGGCAGTATGACCTAAGGACAGAGAGTTGACCCTTCATGTAAGCTGTATCCAGGCCGTGCTAAGCATCTAAAATGCTCTCTGTAAGCCAAGAGATGGTTGGAGTGCATCTGGAGTACTGGCAGTATTGAGATTTGCAATAGCTTCAGTCTCCAAATCATTTGAAGGTATAGGCCCTGGAAGAGCACATGACAGTGGCCTCAACTGGAAGAAGTAAAACCCTTGAAAAACACGGGTGAAGTTTACATCAAACCAGAAAGGTCATAGCCCCCTAGCCAAATGCAGATGATTAAAAGCTGACTGTATTGCTGCTGTAATGTTGTCAAGCAGCTGAGGGTCTGTGCAACCCTAACATGTAAACCTGAGTAGCTAATGGTAGATGTAACGATACACAAGCAACAAGATTTGCTTGGTAATATTTTTTATTAGATCAACTCTATAGTCAGGAGAGATAATGGGCTATATCTGCTTCTTTCCCAGACCAAAGAGCATGCATTTTATTCCTCAAAGCAGGTCTAACCTCTCTCCCAACTACTGTATTTACTCAAATCCAAGGTGTAGATTTTATCCCCAAGCAACACGGGGGAAAGGGCCTCACTCTATATACAAGTACTGACCCAGGGCAGGTGGTAGCTCAGCTCTGGCTTTAGCCCTGAGCATAAGGCTAAAGCAGGAACCCAGCTGCCACCTACCCCAGAATGGTGTGGCTCACGTGGTAGAGGAGAGGGCTCGCAATGGGGGGGTGAGGGGAGTGCAGGGAAGACCATGCGATGTGGGGGGCAGTGTGCTGGGAAGATCCAGTGTGTGGCTTGGGGGAAGCACAGGAGAGCCAGAGCACATATGGCAGGAAGGGGAGGCACAGGGAAGGGAGTTGGGGGGGCAGGCAGCAGAGGGGGTAAAGGGCAAATGGTGGGGGAGTCTGCCATCGGGAGGGGCAAGTAGCAGGAGCATAGGGAGGCAAGCATAGGTATGGAGGACAAGGGGGGGCAATGAGTGCAGCTTTTGCCCCCTTGCTGCTTTCTCTGCTACAGTGGGAGGGGGGCAGGGGATGAATTTAAGACTATAACAACCTTATAATTTTCCATGCATAGAATCTAATTCTCGGAGAGCCATCTTTAATTGGAAATCATTTTGTACTTGTGTAAATATGATATTGAGTGGTTCAATAAAAGATATTACCAAACAAACTAGGGGTGCACCAATAGAGATGTTGGGGCCCGATACCGATAGCTGATTTTTTTAAGGAGGCATATCAGTCGATACCGATATGATTTCCAGTACAGCTTCATCCAGCTGGTAAGTCTGTTGTGGTGGAAGGATAGGAGGGAGGGAAGGGGCATGGGGGGGCAGATCAATGCCCCCGTGGTGAGGGAGGGAGTGGGGCTGGGGCAGGTGCTGCCCAGACGAGCAGGGCAGGTGCAGGACGGAGCCATGGCTCATCCCAGGGGTGCAGGGGGGGTGGCTCCCACCGCTGCGCGCACCCTGGAAGGGCATGGGGGAGTGTATGCTCCCTGGATCTACACAGGTGGGGTGGGGGGCTGCAGCTGTTGACTGGAGCTGGGGCTGTGCCAGGCTCTTCTCAGTGGTGGTGGTGGTAGGCAGCAGCAGTGTTGGGAAAGGGCTACAGGGGGGGCTGCAGCCACCCCAAATTGCACCATAGACCCTCCCAACCTCCCATCCCAGCGCCGCCACCACCACCCACCCAAAGCAGCCTCAGCTCTTCCCAGTGTGTGGGTAGAGGCGAGGGTTGAGTTGGGGCCATGCTGGGTGGGTGGCAGTGCTGGGAGGTTTTGGGAGGGGCTATGGGGAAAATTTGGGGCTGCTGCAGCCCCCTCTCCCAGTGCCACTCATCCTGAGCCCAGCCCCTGCCGAGAAGACTCCGGCTCCAGCTGGCAACTGCAGCCCACCTGCCCCGCCCCATGCAGATCTGGGGGGCACACACACCCCCTGAATGAGCCGCAGCTTCATCCCACCCTGCCTGGGCAGTGGGGCTGGGCAGTGCCTGTCCTGGTCCCACTCCCTCCCTCACCATGGGGGGCATTGATCTGCCCCACCCTGTGCCCCTTCCCTCCCCCCACACGAGACTTACCAGCTTACTGGGATGTGATCCTTGCTGCGCTGTGGCATGGGCATTTATCAGCCAAATTATCGGTCGCATCAGGCCAATTTCCACTATAGTTTTCATTATTTCAGTGCCAATGCGATATCAGACAAATGTGTCAGTGCACCTCTAAAACAAACCTTGGTTTTCACCATAAGAAACTGATACTTGCTTCTACCCTCTCCTGTAATTGCCTTCACGCAACATCATCCCTGTCAGGGTCATTTGGACTGGGTTTCAACCAACTTTTTTCAGTAATGCCCTAGTCTGAACTAGGCAAGGCACTGAACTGCACTGTCCATGTCAAATGAGAAACATTGATAACGGCTCTATCATTAATGGTCCTTTTTACAACGTGCTCTGGGGTGCAGTGGGGAGCACTTTAATTAGAGCAGCTCTTGGGAGCCACTCTAATTAAAGCACCTGCAGCATCTCAGAGCATCCTCCCTGCATGTGTATAGGTGCCCCCAGATTCTTGCTCAGCTATAATCAGAATAATTTGAACCCACTGCTTCCATATCAAGCTATTGGAAGTAAACCCTGTCATATCAGTTCACTGTCTCATCGTCACTTCCTGTCTGCAGTGAGAGAGACCAAATCTTTATTTTTCTATTTTGTTTACTACATTTCTAAGAAATGGACCTTTTAGATTTCTAAAATGGTAGGACTAAAACCATTGGGGATAAAGCTGTTAAAGAAAAAAAGGCTGAGCACACACAGGACCCTCTGATAGATTTTAGATATGACATTTCACATAAGACTACTGCAGCCTTATATTTTTTATACCACCCTACATATTTCAGCATGTACAGAATGTCTTTACTTCAACAAGGCTAGTGGAAATAGGATATGTTTCAAAGGTGCCTAAATGCTATTTTCAGCCATGAATTATTTTTCAGGCTTTCAAAACATTAGTAACTTTCAGTAAGACTCAGGTTTTTCAAAAGAACTTTATTTCTTTGTGAAATTTGCAGTTTTGTTCCTAATTAATTGATAACATGAAAAGGAGGCAGATTTATTTCATTTTTACTAGCTGTAGTAAGAAAAAGCCCTTGTGCAGAGGGTCACATGCACTATTACTGCTGTTCAGTATGCCAGAAGTACTGAACAGCACCATGTAGCTTACCAGTTGTTTTAGCTACATTTACTTCACAGGTTACACATGAAAAAAACGGGCACACAGTTGAGAAAAACTTGGCTGAACTGCTGAAACCATTTAGAACATACTTCCCAGCACATATTAGCAGCCTATGGGAAATTACACATTTTTACTGCAGTTGAATTATCTTGACTAGAAGAGTTCATCATGATTATTTAATTGTTTTAATACCAGTGGTGCTCAACCTTTTGGCCTTGCCCACCAGATGATTGGTGCAGGGTTGGTCCACGAGCGTGATCCGCTGCAAGGGTGGTGCGTGGGGTCATAGTGTGGGTGTGATTTGGCATGCCAGCCCAGTCCCACCCCACACACTGGATCTGGCTGCAGTGACCCAGTATGCTAACTGCAATACTGTCTAGAAGGACCACATCATTCAGCTCGTGAGGCTCTCCAAGGGTCTGGAAAGCTGGCAGTGGAGGAGCAGCAATTAATGTTGCTGCTACCCACTGACAAATCCCACCACAGTTTCTGGACCTGTAGGGAGACCTGCAGGCTCCATGACCTGGCCATTGGCTGGATCTGGCCCATGAACTGGAGGCTGACTACTGCCATTTTAGACAGGTTTTCCTTAGACTCATTGCAATGGTAGAAGATTTATTTATAGTTCATCATTTAAACTAGTTACATTCTCATTAATTCATTAGCTTGATAACCAAAATAATTCTAAAATGAAAACTTCATAGAAATTCCCCAGTCAATCACCTATGCTGCTGTTAGCAAATATATAAGTGCTAGTTTTCTCCTGTTTTCAGGAAAGGCTTTTCTGACAACAGTTTCCTTGGCATTTCTACTTCCATTTTTAGTCTTTTTTTTAAAGCTTACCCTTGCATTTTTTGTGCTGTACTTTAAACACAAGTTTCTGTTGGATGTGTTTGAATGTTTTTGCTTATGCCATGCTATTAAACAAACATACATTAAACATACAGGGTGATTTACCAAAGCCTACACGAAGACAATTTCAACAGAAGCAGGGGAAGCTAGAAGATAAAGAACGTAACCATCTAAGAAAAACTGGTCCTACAATAACAAAGAGGCGACAAGATGAAGGGAGAGAGGTTGAATTTAACAGGATGCTTCAGCATGAAGAACTACAGCTGGTAAGAATTTTTATAGTGTTACTTTAGAACCGTAGTTCTCAACTTTTTCAGGCTCACGGCATCCCTCCATAACTAATTCAGCAAGCATTTGACCAGAATACATGTTCAGAATTTTATCTTATGTCCATTTGTGGTCACAGATAGAAAAAAAGGAGGGAGAAAATAAATTATTAGTAGGGCTGATAGTATTTCAAAGGAAGCATTCCAAATGGCAAACGAAGGATCCCAGAGGTGTAGCCTTGTGCAGGGAAGGGGGGAAAAGTGAGGGAATGGGAAGGGAGTTGTGCTAAGTATATAAGAATGGGGTGAAGGGGAAAGAACTGAGCAGTCTTACTTTCAGTGGAATGGGCTCACATAGGGACTTGCGAGGGCTCACCCTTACTTGGCCTCCGCTGCATTAACCCTCTCACAGCTGCCACCGATTTACATGTAGATCAGGGCTGTGAAAGGGTTAACAAAGTAGTGACTATCAGGCAGCAGTGGGTTGTGGGGTGGGAAGAAGCTGTGAGCAGTGCAAAAGGCTACAGCTGGAGCGCACACTCTTGTCTCAGCACTTCCTGGGCTGACCCTGTATGCTTTTCCCAGAAAGAGAGGGATGTGGGACAGTCCTACCTGCCCTGCACATCTGTTGCCAGGAAAAGCATGAAGTTGGCCTGGGAATGGCTGTGGCTCCAGTCACAGCTGCTTCCTAATCTGCCTCCACAAGTGAGTGGGGCATTTAAACTTGGCTGCAGCAGCATCCAAATCATAGCATCCCTGAAATGAGCTTGTTGGTACCCAGATTGAAAACCACTGCATTAGCATACATACACAACATACATGGCACACGTGAAATCCTGAAAAGTTATCTGCTTTGATGGCTTTAAACTTCTTGCAAAAATAACAAACTCAGTATTTCCATGAGTACTGGATGTTGGCATATGTTTAGATTTGCACAACCAATACATTAAATTAGAAAAATATTAAATTTATTTATTCCCTTATCCATACACTAGTGTAGCACTAGTTCCGTAGCTAATCTTGAACATTAGACCTGTAGTCCAGGTGTTAAGGAATTTCCCAATAATCACACTCTTATTTAGTGGTCACCAGCAAAGTAAGTGTTTGAAAGCATGTCACACTGTATGTACCTTCTCTAATTATAGGGGGAAACTGGATTTTCTAATAGCCTTGTTTTTCGTACGTCACTGTAGTGTTTTGTTTTTTTAACAATGCATAATATTTAACATTATTTAACTCGAAATGATTACATTCTGGCTTCAGGCATTGAAGAGTCAGAATTCAACTAATTGTAGCCCACTAGCTCAATTTTATTGTGTGAAGGGTTTGAAAATACTCATTCACTGCCATATATACAAGGCCAAGGCAAACTTAGGGCACGTACAGAAGTGACATTTTATTGCATGATCTAGCTCCTGAAAGTGCTCTACAGCCATGACCTAACACATGCACAACTGCAGAGCACTTCTAAACTGATTGATCCTGTGAAAAATTAAAGCTTGTCTAATCAGGTAACAGATTATGGTGCTCTGTTAGACTGCCTTAGGGAACTTGTGTTCTCCTGGGGGTAATTTTTCAAGCAGAGGTGGGCCATTAGCAGAGAGATGAAAGGGAACAGCAGCTGCCAGGCTGCTATGCTTGACT